ATTTTATATTAGTAACTATATTATTATTTTTGAGTTAAAATTTAATTATTTATATTTTGTGAGTTTATAAAATTTTTTTGTTATTAATAAGTTGGAGTCAAAAGCTTCATACCAAACATATACGTAGTCAAATATGTAAAAAAAATTATTTGCCATTGTAGCTGCCATAGGAAGTCTCCTTCTAATGCGATGGAAAATGTGCACTCTCCTTTCTCAGTCAGATCATTTTCATGATATTTTTTGCTCCTGCATATATCATATCTCCCGTCTTTGACGAGTACAAAGAGTATCTTTGTGTGGCACAGTGCAGGTATCTCTCTTCCATCCAACCATCGTTCCAATCAGCCAATCGTACGCCCTTTTCAAAGGTAAATACACACCCTGCAATCGCACACATCACAAGAGCTTGCACGTCAGACTTCTGGGAATGCGCAAAGTTCAAAGAGGAATTCTCGTGTGTCACTTGCAAAATACAAAAGCAGCACTCACGCTGCCTCATTTTGTTCGCGGAAATCTATTTATCGCAAAAGGCAGGATGCAAATAATTCAGCAGCGCATTTTGAATTTTCCTCGTAGCGCTACTTCGAATGGCCTTTATTATTACGACTCCTTCGAGTGTGTTTTTCTTTCAAAGCAAAGAAGTGCGGACGGACCACTTCTGTGGGAAATGATCCGTGAACGGCTGCATTTATGATCTGTAACAATGGTCTCGCGGATTTGAAACTTATGCCCTTGGGAATAAAAAGCGAGCGGCGAAAAGTAACTTTTGATGATGGATGCCGCTGGCTGGTTGGGAATGTTTGACTTGGAGATTAGGTCAATCTCCGGGTCGCTAAAAACCAGCCATTTTTATGACTTCCCGCTTTATGGCGCGCGGTGTGTGCTTTTCATTATTACTTTATGCCCGCTCGATTTGTCGTCGACCTGTTGTAAAAGTTTTTGCCCATTTCTCAGTCGAAGCCAAATCGAAGCGAAACTTGCAGTGTCAATTTGCCAGCATCGATTCCGACACACCCCAGTTGCTACTTGCAACGCCACGACGACGGCACCAGGCTTTGATTGAAGGGTCGTATTACTGTAAACAAGCTTGTAATTTGCATGTGCTTAGGGTGTTTCCATCAACAAGGTCTCACGAGGTCTTTATGCAAAAGTAATAGCTGCCGCAAATAGCTTTGGAGCCGCTATGGAGATCAATCAAGGTCTGACGGCGCAAAGTAGCAAATCGAACCAGATTTGAATATTTTCTTCCGTTCTTCCTCATTTTGTTACAAAAATCTGCGTTAATTTAAACCGGTCTGAATGGAACCAAAACATTTAAAGCGAATGTTCTTATGTACACAAAAAAAGTGTAATTTGTACCCAAACACTCTAAAAAAGTTATGTGTATTGTATTTAGACTGTAAATAAACTAGGGAATCGTCGCTGCAAAAAAAAAAATAAAGAATAAAGAATAAAAGGAAAAAAATACATAAACTTTCATGAAATTCACCTGGAGTGTTGGCTTCCAATGCAAAAAAATAATTCAATATTTTACAATTTTGGAAAATCTTCACTTTGTGGGAAATTTTAATTCAAAAGGATTGTTTTGAATAAACACCCCAATAGTAAACTCTAGGGTTGGTTGATTAAATATTGAAGCACTGTAATGCATGACAAGTAGCAGGCAGTGAGCGAGAGGATGATTATCCAGCAGCATTTATTTGTGAGAAACCACGCGCGTTCTGTGTGCTGCAGAGCAATAGTATCACAAGCCACATAATGTGCAGCCAAGCAAGACCAACCGGCAAACGGCCCCAGGCAAAATTACAATTATTCGAAATGGTGTAATTGCTCTGCAGAGCTGTAATTGGCGTGGTAGCGGCAGTGCGTCTCTGGCCGAAACTGCACCGCCTTTTACATATAATGTAGGAACACGCGTTTTACATGCAAGACAGAGCTGTAAAAATTTTAAAAATGTTTAAACTCTTATTTTGCATTTTGAATTTATGTTGGATTTAATAAATATATTTATATAATTATTTCCTTACTTAATTTTTTAAATATTTATTTTTTCTGGTATTCCAATAATTTTCTGACTAAAAAATTTACTATATAATAATTCATTCCTAATTCAGATGTATAAAAAAATAAATTTACTGGTGTTGCAGAAGTTATAGCTTATTATTGGAGTACAATATATTAGTAGAATTTCGGGAATTACAGTAGAATCATATCATATTTTTTTTTGCGAATTTGAGAGAGTAAAATAAATTAATTTTTCTCTAAAAATATTAAACATTACTTGTGAATAAATTCAAACAGAGCAGACATTAATAAAATGGAAGTTCTCCGCAGCACAATTTGTTATTTGAGGTGCCTTTCTGTGAACAACGTGACTTTCTTTCCTGCTTGCGAATCGAAAGTCCAGTCAGTCGCTTCTAAAGGAAGTGTCACAAAAAGCCGGTCAATCTTTCGCCAGCCAGCACGGCAAAGATGGTTCGTTACCCGTGGCGGTCGTAGCGTGATTTACGCCGGTCTCACCAACAGATTCTCATTATCCAACTTTCTTCGCCAGCGTCCCTTGCAGCGCCGGTCGTTTTTTATTAAGGTGAGCAAACAAACAAACAAACTGCGCGCCATTAAACGACGAGTTTTTCTTTCTTTCTTTCTCTTGGCCGCGCACGCATGAGTCGCTTGTCAGAGCGCAATATTTACTAATTTAATTCTGCCGCGACCCAAATTGTGAATGGTGGGCCAACTTTTCACCCCCACCTAATGTACACGCCGAGTTTCCAAAGTTCGCAATCCCATTAGCGCTATTATTGTTGGTGTTTGCCTTTTTTGGTCGGCGGCGGCGAAACAAGCCTGCCAAACAAAGTGATTAAGCGACGAGAGCGCGCACCCCTGATAAATTGCAGCGCACCGAATGCTAAACGGATCTGCGTGTCAGAGGTTTGTTTTAATTTGACTTGACGTGGATTTTTTTCCCGGCCCGTTTTTATTTGCGTTATTATGTTGTTCTAACTGCCGCGGATTAAAGTGTAATTCGCAGAATTAGCGCCTTTTTTTGCTATTCGCCCTGCACGTGCCCAATTCGGGCCGGCGGCTTTTATTATTTAATTCGCACCGCCAAATTGGCTTTTAAACACGCTCCTTTTTTTAAACGCACCACGTCTGCTGCAAATTACGAACATTTCGCAATTTTATGGTCGACCTGGTGTTACTCAACAACCTGCAGACAACTTTTGACCAGACTTTATGATGGGTGGTAAAAATTTGGTAAAAAAAATGAGCCATACATGATTTTTATATTTTGCTTTTTTTAATCATCAAATGGAATTCCACATATTTGTTTCCCAATCATTTAATTAATAGCGAATAAATTTCGCTTGCATGTGTGAATCGTGTTTCCTCACTTGAAAAGTCCGTTAATTTAGAGTTGATTAAAAATTCCTAAAATAAACATCAAAGGAAATCATTTTGATTCACATAAGTTAATGAAGACTTCTCGCGATTCCGTTTTCCTCTAAAGTGTTATCTGTAATAATGATATTAATAATGAAACTTGCTTGTAATAAATTGGATCAAAGCAACAGGAAATTCCTGAAGGCAAAGTAGTTTAGAGTTTATTAATGTTAACTTTTTAATTCTTTTCATGTTAATAAAAATTGAGTCATGTAATTCAGTTTAATCCCTTGTATGTATTTTCATATTTTTTTTAAGGAAAACTGTATTTTATCTAATAAAATTGCTCTCTCTGCCCGCCGTCTAAAGGAAAATTTCATTAAACTTTTCCAACGACGGCGCATCTCCAAAACAAAACCATTTCACCTCGCGTCTTTCCTCTTTTCCTTCTTTTCCTCTCAAGGTCTATAATTGTTTCGCTCCATTATTATTTCGAGCGCACACAGCAGCCAAAGGAAAAACTTCTCAGCGCAGACGGAAAACCTTTTGGCCTTTTCTCTCTTGCACTTTTTTATATCCGACATGTAAAGGAAAAGTTAATAACGTCTCGGCTTGAAAATTCAGGCGCCCGTCAACACTTAAAAAGCTTTCCCGACTCAAACGTCAATCAGCGTTACACACACCCGCTTTTTTGTCAGGCAAATCCAACGAAGACAGTTGCTGCTCTGATGATAGGAAAATAATTTGAAAGGAGAAATTAAACAGCTACACTACATTCTTCTCGCACTTCTTTTTCCTCGTTTTTTTTCTTATCTCGTTGGGACTGGAGGGAAATATGAGAAACGTCTCAACGGTGGTCGGACCCGACAGAACCCAAGTTGATAAAAATGAATAATGCAACGTCGTAAATTAGCTTTTTTCATGCAAACTTCGCCTTTTATATTAGCAATTAGTCCCAGTGGAGGGAAAGAGATATAAAGATGTATATAAAAAAAGAGACACAATTTACATACAACGCAAAATTAATTCCGAAGTGTGTCTGTATAATCTTTCTTTTTGTATGAGGAAATGATGAAGCGCCGCGTGTCGCCCGAGGCGAAAGACACCGAGTGCGGTGCCACACCGAATCTGAAATTCATATCGGCTCGAAGGAGGCCGCACCGTAAAAATGCACGCGAATTTGCATTTTGACTGACACCCGCTCACAAGTGTGTTGGAAATTTATTTCCTCACTGACGTGTTGCCGCCGCACTTTTCGCACTCGAATTCTTCCTTCTCACTTTCGAGAACACGGAAATCAGCCAGTGTGTGTGTTTAATGTTATTCCACGTCGCAGGTGTGGCAAAAAAACTCAGATGTGCACGAAAACCCACATGTCACTCAATCTGACTCTTTTAAATGGAAGCCCGTGACGTTAGAACTCCGAATAAAGCCCATAAAAAAACGAAAAATATTTATTATGCAATGGTTATTATAGAACAAGACAGTTTGAAACAATTGGTTAGCCTGAAAATTCGTCAAAAATAACTTAATTTAAAGTAGTTGATGGGATGATTTTTTAACAAAATTTACATTTAAAAATGTGATTTCTAAATTTGTAATTTTTCTGTTTCCAGGTTCTGTGAAGGATAAATCATCTTCCTCCTCAGATATTTGATTGAGGTGAGTGCAAAAAAAATTTGAGGAGGGTTGATAAATAGGCGGAATCATCAAGTTGTAATCTTGCTCAAGATTGAATCCTCGGAATGGCTTGAGAAATGGAAATTGCGCCACCGGTGGCCACTCGTGCGAACACGGCAACCTCTCTCGTTGGGCAGTCTGGCCGCGTGCCGGGCAGCCTGCCGCCCTTTATTGGCCCTCGGGGACGTCCGGTGTAGCAACTTGTGTGTTTAGATGACGACGAATTCCGTCCGAAGGAATTGGCAAGCTAATTGCCTTCGCAGGGAGAACTTTGCTCGGGCCAATAATAAGCAGACGATCGATATATGGGCGCGGCAGTTTGCGCCTCTAATAATAATGTCGACGTCGATGACGACACTTTTAATTGTATTCGTGTCATATCTGGGTTAACGACGCCTCCTGTGTGATGGAATGCCACTCCGCCGGCGGCCCTCAGGGGCGGAATGGGCACATTGTGCTCTCTCGCGAATAATTTATTGAAGAGAGAGAAGTAGCGTGCAATTCAATTTTGATCGGCGACGATCGACCTTTGACGGGAGTGGTGTGCATTTGCTGGCAATAAAGGTCTGATTCGTTTTATTCAGAGCTAATCAAGAAGTCAAATGGCTTCTACGGTTGAGAGTGACAGCAGACTGAAATTAGATCTTTGCAAATGAAATGAGACATCAACATCAGTCGATGCGAAATTACGTTGCTTTTACATGGCGGAGTGGATTGTTTAATTATGCATGGATTTCTTTTTCTTATTGAAAACCAAGGAAGTTCAAGCAAATAGATGGAAAAAATGAAGTTAAAAATGAATTTTATTGGTGTACCACAAGGCAATCTCTGCCGATATTGAGATACATAATAAAAATATTTAAAAGTTATAATGAAAAGAAAAGCTACAACAATTGAGAAGACAAATCACACACATGTTCTGAAAAACCTTTTCAAAAAAAAATTCGAGGAAATATATTTAAGCATTCTTTGCAAATCATAAATTTGGATACTAAAATTGGCAAAAAAAAAAACATTTTTTCAGCACTGAAACTAGAGCACTAAATAAATACGCTTTTTTGTCTCTCAAGTCTTCTTGTAGACCATGTTGAAAACCTTTAACTCTGGTCATCATTTTCCGTGTATATTTTGCGATTATTTTTTAAATTTTTTCACAAATTCTTAGCTCCACTAGTGAAGTTGTTAATTAATTTGACGTTCCTAATAAATTGTTATATTAGTTTGATTTATAATCAATTTTTAACGAAAATATTTCCAAGTTGTAAATTTTAAATATTTGGTCAATTGATTTTAAAATGCCAAAGATAGATTCAGTAAATATATTTATTAATAAAATTCACACAATTGCCTCTCTATAAAATTATGCAAGACTTTTGTAATTTTTAATTTTGAAGTTAATTGTAAGATGCTCCCTCCTGGATCCGCCACTGTTGAATTTGCATTTCGCCCACTTCGCCAGCCGCAAGTCGTTTCATTATCACCGTCTGAGACGTGATGCATGTGATATTAAATATGTGGGCCCGGCGCGTTCACACACCCGCCGCCGTCGCCCAACTCGAACATTACATGCAGCGCGCGCTGTTTATCGCTTTTTAATTCTATTTGCATCTCATTATCGGCTCAAATGAACTAGATGCAAATTCGCCAGATGACGCGGTCGCTCACTCCCTCGGATACAATTTGCTTACATGCGCCCCATTATAGTGCGCCGCAGACTTAATCAGACTGAATAATGTAGATCGCGTCGAAATTGCTTTTAATGCAACCCGCCAAGCACGGTCGACTTATCGGAGCCAAAGTTTATTAAATTGATCGACCAGAGTGAGAGAGAGAGAAAGTTGAGCAATTTGTTAATTAATTAGCCCTGTTTATTTTCGGTTTTGAAGATGCAATTAATCAAATTCCATCGCGAACTTTTCGAGCGCAGCTTGCGGTCGGAGCGCGGTAATGAAATTATGCCTGAATTTCTCCACGGGGGTGACAGACAAATTGATTGGCCTCCTCCACCCTTCGCATTCCTTCCTTCCAAGTCAATCCGGAGCGGCGGTTCGATTTAAGAATTGTTCTTTCTCTCCTTCAATTCATTTCGCCCGCAGTGAGAGAGAGAGAGAGAGAGAGAGAGAGATGCAATTTTTCCTGACTGGGCTATAAATCCACGCCGCGGCAATCCATTTTCCAATCTCCTCCGCCGTCGTCCGCTATCGTTAAAATTAATCAAATCAATTTCAAGATTGACGCGACTCCATTTTCGCACATTCGCGCGCCGAAAATGATTTCCGAGAGAGACGCGCAGATAAAATTCCACCAATTAGTGTAATGATGACCGATCTTCTTGAAACCCCTTCTAACGAAGATTTAAACGGTGCAGGCCGACCGGCCACCTTTTTTTGCGCTGCATCCTCGGGGAAAAGGTCGCTTGATCTCGGGATCTATCCGGCGACGAAATCTCTCTCGTTGCACTCTTTTCTTTCGGCGTGCGGTCTACTTTTGCGGGAAATTGATGTCAAAAGTGTATAAAAAGAGACGAAAGGCTTACTCGGGGAATCATAGTGAAATGAAAAAAGGGCTCACTCAGTGGGCGGAAGAAAAATTGCTACACATTACCAGTGCCACGCCAGCTTTTTCGCGCCCCGTAAGAAGGCAAACGCGCTGAATTCGCGGCAGTGAGAGAGGAGATTTTGTACGGCGCGTGTAAAAAGAGACGTGAGGATTTGTAGCGAGAATGTTTGCAGAGAATAAATTTAAATGCTTTTTGCGGCTTGCAGTTTTGTCACGTCGCGTCTCGCCGCGCGGCTCTTTTGACAGGTCGAAAAGAAATCCGCTCTCGGGATTTTCGTGTTGTGTCTCGGAAATGAAAAGTTGCATTTGGAAAATAAACATTAATGGCTTTTGTGACGTATTAAACGGTTTCTTCAATTTTCTTGGTTTACAAAAACCTTTCACTTTGAAACCAAAAGTAAAATCATAAAAATATATAATGAATTAACAAAAGTTTGCCTTCTTATTATTTGGCAAGAGTTGTAACAAATAAAATTCTTTACATTCAAGTGTAGTAATTTTTCTTATAAAAACAAGTGTTTGTTGTTTCAATTTGAATCTTCAAAGGTCCCTTAAATGGTGATATTTTCTAATATCAGTTTGATTGGGATATAATTTTTGCCTAAAAATAATGATAAATATTTATTCAATCAATTCAAGCAACTTTCAAACTCGTAAAAATATTTTCCGTAAAAATCATTTTACACATTTTAACTGTAATCTGTTTTTTACTTGCAAACTTTATTTACTGAATGCCCACATACATCATATTTACACGTAAATACAAATTTTTTTTTAAATTTGTCGAACACATTTTTTTTTTTAATTTTTGTTCTCGTGGCACAGATGAAAAATATCTGCGCTTGTGGCTTTATTGTGAATTATAAAAAATTCCGCGTTTCTGTTTTTGGCCCTCGCGCACGCAGCATAAGGTACTTTATAAAAAGCTGTGCAGGGTCGGGCGGTTGGTCTGTCGGTGGGGCGCACAAAGCCGAGAGAGCGAGCACGCCATTATGCGCGAGTGCGTAATTCATCACTTCTGGGCAATTTGTTTTCGTTAAAGGCTAAGCACACACATGTTGGAGGTGCCGGAATTTTTATCCGGCGCTGGCAGCGCGCGGTAATCAATTGCCAAGGTGTCAAGTGAGAGAGCAGAGTCAAAAAAGAGAGGCGCCTAGTTGATCGCCTTTTAATGCATTCATGGCCCAGGTGCGGAGACAGATTGGCCGCCTTGAATTATGACACACGCGCGCGCATGGACCAGAATTATTTTCCACCAGCTGCGTCCGTTAAGAAAGAGCTCACGCTTCCATGAATCAAACCTTCTGTCACTGATACGTGCGCTCGCAGGGATGCCCTGGAAATGCAGAAAGCAAACAAAAGAGCCTGAATTGCGCCTCATGATCAGTTTTATATAAAAAAAATTAACTCTATAGCTTTAAAATTTACAAGACCTATAATTTTACTTAAGTAAATGAAAATTTGATAATGAATTTATTAAAAATTAAAGATTAAAAATTTTGTGCAAGGAAGCAAGAGTAAACAAGATAAAAACATAAAAATTCTATACATTATATTATATTGGAAGCAGAGAAAGAGTTTCACTTTAATTTTAAATTCTAAATTATTAATTATTTCCTTAAATTATCGTAAAATTAAAAATTTTTATGTTATAAATTCAAATGAGTAAAATAGACGAGCCTTAAAATATTTGAAACTATTTCATTTGTAAGTAGTTTGATTTGACGATATATATTGTTATTTTTTAACTTTGAATACGATACATTTTTATTGTAATTTATAATCTTTAAAACAAAAAGATTTATCAACTAAATTCTAGATAAATAACGCATAAGAAAGTTTTCATAAAATAAATGAAATTAAAAATTCAACTTCCAACAATCTAATTTGGCATATAGCAAAGAAATTGCAACGGTAAAAACTATTAGAATTCCATGCTACACATTTTCCTTTCCTAATTAAATACTTGACTTGTTTTACAGACTGTTTGCATCCGTATTTCATGAGCAAGAAAAACTTAAAAACCCAGAATAAATCTTGGAATTCTCAAGGCATTTTTTTGCTTCAAATGGCAGATTTTCTACTTTCGAGTGCCAAAACTTTTTAAATTTTTTATATAAAAACTATATTTTGGAGCTCTCTTTAAATCTCCTTTAATTTTTTAATTAATACTTTTTTATATTTTAATATAAAAATAACTAAATATGCATATATAATTTATACATAAGATAAGCAGATTGAAGTTAAATTGCACATTCAAGAAATGAGCTGTTTGCATGTGGCTGACCCAGCAAGACATTTCATGTCTCTCGCAGACGCAGTTGGCAGTTTCTGGCAGACGTACGTGGAATTGGCACCCATTCGGCCTTGAGGTGCGTCCCGAGGCAATCCGGCGAGAAGAGAGGTGTTTAGCCCGGATTCGG